CCTGGCCTGTGTCCAGTACGCTGACACATGATGCCATTGAATTCCTGCTCCAGGCTGAGCCCTGGGGCTCAGAGGGGTTGTGTTTCTGGCCCAATCGCACACAGCAGGTGGGAGGGAGATGACAGGGCCACCGAGGACTATGTCATTGGAACCATACGTGCTCTGAACTGCCACAGGAAGTCAGTTAAGATGAGCAAAGTGTTTATAAACTTGGAGATGCAGGCCAGGCACGGTGGCTCATGCCTGTAATCCCAGTACTTTGGGAGGCCGAGGCAGGTGGATCACCTGAGGTCAGGAGTTTGAGACCAGCCTGACCAATAAGGTGAAAACCTGTCTCCATTAAAAATATAAAAATTAGCCAGGTGTGGTGGCAGGTGCCTGTAATCCCAAATATTCAGGAGGCTGAGGCAGGATAATCACTTGAACCTGGGAGGCGGAGGTTGCAGCGAGCTGAAATCATGCCACTGCTCCTGCCTGGGAGACAAAGCCAGACTCTGTCTCAAAAGATTAATTAATTAATTAATTAATTAATTAATTAAAAACGATGTTGGAGATGCACTATGTTATTTTCAAAACAAGCTGCCTTTAAAGGTCTATCTCTCGTCACAGAGTGGGCTCATCTGTTTTACTTTATTTTCTGTGGTTTATCTATTTACTTATTTTAATGAACGAGGAAGCATTGCACCTATTTATGGCATACCACATGATGTTTGGATACATGTATGCCTGTGGCATGGCCAAGTCAAGCTAGAACATGGGCCTTACCTCATATACATGTCTTATGAAGAACACATAAAACCTGCTCTCATAGTGATTTTCAAATATGCAACATAGAGTTTATTAACTGCAGTCACTATGATGTGCAATAGATCTCTGGAACTTATTCCTCCTGTCTAGCTAAGATTTTGTGACCTCTGACCAACATCTCCCCAGTGTTGTCACCCCCCACCCCCAGCCTCTGGTAGCTGCCATTCTCTCTGCTTCTGTGAGTTTCATGTTTTTACATTCCACATGTCAGTGGCCTCATGCAGTGTTTGTATCTCTGTGTCTAGCTTGTTCACTTAGCGTAATGTCCTCCAGCTTCATCTATGTTGTCGGAAATGACAGGATTTCCGTCTTTCTTACGGCGGAATAGTATCGCATTGTGCATATACACCACGTTTTCTTTATCCATTCATTCACCGAGGGACACTTAGGTTGATGTCATATCTTGGCTGTTGTGAAAAATGCCACAGTGAGCGTGGGAGTGCAGGTCTCTTCAACACACGGATATCCTTTCCTTTGGAGATAAACCCAGCAGTGAGATTGCTGGATCACATGGCAGTTGTGTTTCTAACTTTTTGGGGAAACTCCATACTGTTTTCTACAATGGCCATAGCAACTTCCACTCCCACCCACAGGGTGCAAAGGCTCCATTTCTCATCTACATCCTCACCAACTCCTGTTATTTTCCATCTTTTTGATAGGAGCCATGGTTAGAGGTATGAGATGATACCTCATTGTGGTTTTCATTTGCATTTTTATTTGTATTTTTCATGAATTTTTGAGGGTGATTTCAAGGGTAGTTAGTGGCTGTAACAGGGAAAGGAGCCTGAGTATGAGGGTTGGGCTAATCATCCCCCCCCTGCCGGCTGCATACTGAATGGGGCTCGGCAGGGGGCTTTTTACTTTCTTCCTCTGATTTCAAGGGTAGTTAGTGGCTGTAACAGGGAAAGGAGCCTGAGTATGAGGGTTGGGCTAATCATTCCCCCCCTGCCGGCTGCATACTGAATGGGGCTCGGCAGGGGGCTTTTTACTTTCTTCCTCTTCTTTTAAAACTTATTTCCCGGCCGGGCGTGGTGGCTCACACCTGTAATCCTGACACTTCGGGAGGCCAAGGTGGGCAGATCATGAGGTCAGGAGTTTGAGAGCAGCCTGACCAACAACCCTGTCTCTACTAAAAATACAAAAATTAGCCAGACGTGGTGGTGGCATACCTGTATCCAGCTACTCAGGAGGCTAATCACTTGAACCTGGGAGGTGGAGGTTGCAGTGAGCCAAAATTTTGTCACTGCACTCCAGCCTGGGTGACACAGCAAGACTCCATCTCAAAAAAAAAAAAAAAGTGATTTCCCAAGCACAGCCACGTATTCCAGGCTTGCGGATCAGCGTTGGTGGCGGGGTGCGCTCTCACATCTTAGTTCCCGCTAAGCACACTCTGACATGTTTACATTAGAACCATTTTTTTTTTTTCTAGAAATAGAAATTTCAGAATTGTAGAGTCAGAGGACTTAGCAGAAATCTCTTAGGTAGTTCTCCTCCCCTCCCTCAAGTGCAGTCCTAACCTCCTGGGGTTTTCTGTAGAAACCATGAGCCTCAGAGCTGGCTGAGAATTCTAGACAGAGTTTTCCGTGTTAAAGTAATTCCCCCTCTCCTAAGGGCCATCCTTGGTGGGGACTGGCTTCCTGTTATGCCCTCACTGTAAGTCCTGGCTGTGGAATTTCTGGTGAGGAGCACTGGCCCGTGGAGCTCGGCCCTTGAGCGGCCCGAGTGTTCTGTGTTCTTGATACTTTTCCTCCAGCACAGCCTTGCTTCCCAGAAAAGGGTTGCACTTGAAAATGATGCATTTGCTGATTAAATATAGTTCTTTTGCTTTATTTAGTTTCTTAAATAAAGTGGGGAGTTTTTAAGATGGAGTAGCTTGTAGTTAAGATAGCACGTGGAATGGTTTTTTTTTTTTTTTTTTTAGAGACAAGGTCTCACTCTGTCATCCACTCTGGTGAGTAGTAAAGTACACAGGCCTTTTGCTGGCCATGCAATTAGTTAATAAAGGCCAGACTGTCAGGAAGGTTTTTTTTTTTTTTTTTTTTCCCCTGGTGATAGGGTTTCACTCTGTTGCCCAGGCTGGAGTGCAATGGCATGATCATGGCTCACTGCAACTTCAACCTCCTGGGGTTAAGTGATTCCCCCAGCCTCAGCCCCCCAAGTAGCTGGGACTGCAGGGGCTCGCCACCATGCCTGGCTAATTTTTGTATTTTTTGTAGAAATGGGGTTTCGTCGATGTTGTCCAGGCTGGTCTCGAACTCCTGACCTCAAGCAATCCTCACAACTCAGGCTCCCAAACTGCTGGAATTACAGGCGTGAACCATAGCACCTGGCCTGGAATGGCTTTTGATGTTCTCCTATGTGCATATGTGGGTGAAAAAACACCAACAAAGTCCTTATGTTACCTGAAGAGTTGCTCTCTTCTTAGTATTTAAGTCGTATTTATTTAAATACTTTAATAGTTGTACACCCAGGTAGGTCAAAATCAAGGAAGTACAAAAGGGTATGCTGTGAAAAATCTCTTCTTCCTTGCTCTGCTTACTTACCTACCCCCCATCCCCCACCTTACACCCCAGACACACACACAGATGTGTGTCTGTTCACTTTTTTAAAAGTAACTGAAATGAGATACACTTCTTCTTCTTTTTTTTTTTTCTTGTTGCCCAGGTTGGAGTACAATGGCAGCATCTCAGCTCACCGCAACCTCCGCCTCCTAGGTTCAAGAGATTCTCCTGACTCAGCCTCCCGAGTAGCTGGGATTACAGGCATGCACCACCACACCGGCTAATTTTCTATTTTTAGTAGAGACGGGGTTTCTCCGTGTTGGTCAGGCTGGTCTCGAACTCCTGACCTCAGGTGATCCACCCGCCTTGGTCTCCCAAAGTGCTGGGATTACAGGCATGAGCCACCTTGACTGGCCTATCTTATTTATTTTTAAAAACAGCTTATTGAGATCTAATTTATGTACCATAAAATTCAAGTATATAATTCAGTGCTTTTATATATAAAACATTATATATATAAAATAACTTACTGAGATATAATTTTTTATATAAAACAGCTTATTGAAATGTTATTTATGTACCATCAAATTTAAATATATAATTCACTGACTTTTATATATTCACGAATATGTGCAGCTATCACCACAGTCAATTTTAGGATATAGGACATTTTCATCAGCTCATAAAGAAACCCCAAGCCCTTGAACTATCACCCCGTATCCCTCCTCCCAGCCCATCCCTCCTACTCCTAAGCAATCACTAATCTACTTAGTGTCTATAGATTTCGCACTCTAGGCATTCCATGTGAGTGGGATCATGCAATATGTGGGCTCATGCAGTACGTCTGGCTCCTTTCACTGAGCATAAGGTCTTCAAGGCTCATGCAGGTTGCAGCCTGGGTCTGAATTTCATTCCCTCTTCTGGCTGAATCATATTCCATTGCATATCGTGGACATATCCGATTCTGCTCACCCAGCCGTTGGTGGGCGTTTGGAGTGTTTTTGCCTGTTGGCTGTTTTAAGAGGGCTGCAGTGAATGTTCGTACAAGTTTTTGACGCAATGCCTGTTTCAATTATTTTATGTAGAGAGCACTTTTTGCAGAAAAAGAATAGTTTGTGGCCTCCCTTTGTGTGCGGTCAGTGCCTCGCAAAGAGTAAGCTCTACGCGACCACTTCTGGAGTCGCGAGGATGGCGGGGCTCGGGTAGCGGCTAGGACAATACAAGCTGGGACAAAGCCTGGTGCAATGGTTCACACCTGTAATTCCCACACTTTGGGAGGCTGAGGCAGGGGGATCACCTGAGGTCAGGAGTTTGAGACCAGCCTGGCCAACATGATGAAACCCCATCTCTAATAAAATACAAAAATTAGCTGGACGGGGTGGTGAACACCTGTAATTCCAGCTACTCAGGAGGCTGAGGCAGGAGAATCGCTTGAACCCGGGAGGTGGAGGCTGCAGTGAGTGGAGATCACACCACTGCACTTCAGCCTAGGCGACAGAGCGAGACTCCGTCTCAAAAAAAAAAAAAAATAGAAAAAAAAAAGAAAGAAACTCACAGAAAATCCTCCTTCTCGTGCAGTTCGCCTCTATGGACCAAACTTCATTCTTCAGGTGTACTCATCTCAGAGGAAGTCCTGGCACCCTGTATGCCGAGACGACTGGAATGAGAACTACGGGCGGGCAGCCTGCAGGGACATGGGCTATAAGTGAGTACGGGGCAGCACCCGCATGGTGACGGGAACAGACAGCAGAAACATGAGAAGACCCTCTCTCTGCCTCGCCATGAAAGTACCGGCACATGAGTGCTGGGGACAGTTGTCACCTTCCAAAAGCTGAGCCCTGTAACCAGCAGGTGGAACTTGTCCTGCTAGGGCTGTGCCCAGCACAGGGACCTCGGCTCGCTGCCACCCTGCCCTGCCTCCTCCTTGGCCTCTATAGACTTCTAGTTGCTCGGGAGTGCCCAGTGCTGTGGTCATCTGGTCAGGGGTGCAGGCTGAGGGCATTAGGTGCCTCTTTTCCCAAGATGCCCCTCAGCCAGGGTCCATTCACCCCCTGGGTAGAGGTTGGGCCAGAACAGCCGGCGAGGAGGGTTGGGCTGGGGAGAGCAGCAGGGACAAATCCTGTGCCCAGTTTCGCTGCATTCGGGAGCCATGGAAGGCCTTTGAACTGGGGAGAGAATCAATCAATCAGATTTATACTTAAAAAATGTCATTGCTGCTTGCAGCTCTGAGGGAAGGTGGGAAGGCTTAAGGGGGTGTGTGTCCCTTGCCAGTGTTTCCTGGCCGGGGGTGTGGTGGTTACCACTTACCAGCACTGCTTGGGGAGATGTGGCAGCCCTCAGGCATCAGGGAAAGGGCGGTAGGATTCTACTGCCACTTTATTTTCCGTGGGAGGGTCCCCAGGTGATTTCTATGCAATTTTAGGGTATTCAATATGCCAGTTTTCAGAATGAATTACAACTTGATGAGAAAGTTGGCATCTTAGCTAGTCACTCTGCCATCCCTAAACAGCAAGGGTGAATTACACAGCAAAGCGCCCAATCACAGTCCAGGAACCTGGTGGAATTGATAACTGGGGACATTTTAACATCTGTACCTTTTATTAGATTAAATGTATGTATGATTATACACTCCTATGACCTTCTCATAGTTTACTGATCCTAACCTGGATAAGAAACACGACCAATGAAAAAATTTTACCTGACACTTTAGGGTTATTGAACCAAAAAATCGTTACACTTGGTTAGAATGTGTGATTTTTTTTTCCCCCTAAATGCTAAGGTTTTTCTCTCTTATTTTGAATGTCATATGAGAGGCATTATGGCATAGTATAGGATTTGTATTTGCTTATGCCTTAACCATTACATAAATAAGGTTTTCTGTCTTTTTTAGGAATAGTTTTTACTCTAGCCGAGGAATAGCGGATAACAGTGGAGCCACCAGCTTTATGAAACTGAACACAAGTGCTGGCAATGTCGATATCTATAAAAAACTGTACCACAGGTATGCAGTGATTTCTTCTTTGAAACATTTTGGAATGAAATCAACTAGGAGACACCATGGGGAATCGCTGTCCTGAGTCTCATTTCTCCAAGCTGCAATACTCGGTCTGGATGGGTTTTGCACTGGGAGAAGATTAGAGTCTGACCAGGCCTGGTTACTCTAAGCAGCTCTTGGTTTATTCATAGGAAGTGGCTGAGGTTTCTCTGCTATTTCATTTTCAGCCTCTACAGTCTGCTCTTGATGGTACCGGATAACACTGCAACACTGACATTCAACTCTATTTATTTTCCTTTGCTCTTCAGACATTTAGAGATGTATCTATTGTGTCAGGGTGTGGTTCTAGGAATCCAAGATAATATCTCAGTGTCCCAGCCGGGGTGACCGGCTCATCCCGGTTTGCCAGGGACTTCACTGGCTTGAGCAAGGAAAGTCCTGCTCTGTTCCAGGCCGCTGGGCTGGCTGGTCCCCTTAGCCCCAACCCTGGGACGGCAGTGCCAGACAGTGCTCTGTGAGGGGTGGGCAGCATTCTGGCGGCCTGGGAATGAGTCGTGTGTGTCCATGGGGTAGAAGTAGGCACAAGCCACAGGTCACGTGATGAGTGGCTGACCTGGCTGGGAGGGCGGAAGAGGGGATGGACTTAGCTATCCCTTTTGCTTTGCACACATTTAAGATGTTTGCTACGATTGTTGCTGTTATGTGAGTGTTTTCTGATGTGAAAGATACACAGTGTCCTGTGCCCATGAGCTCTCCTTGCCTCCCAGGTCCCCAGGGCTTGTGCCTGGTGTCTAGGCATCACCTCCCTGCCCGCCAGGTGCCAGGTGCTGCGTTTTGGGGGAGGATGAACTAATCACCCTGCGCCACCTTTCCTCTGAGTAGGAGCCTGGGGCAGGTTTGCATTCCTGGTGGCCGCTGGCAGAGGTGTCTGGGGGCCTGACTTCCACCGCAGCCTGCTGTCCTGGGGAATGTGGCAGGGCAAGCCCAGTGGGGAGGGCTGTGCGAGGCCAGGTGCACCCATCAAAACAGCAGGGCTGCGGTTTGTCCCTGTGGAGAAGCTAAACACAGCTGCCTGGGCACTTTGTAAATGCTGAGTGGTTCTTTGTCTTCCTGGGTTACACACAGAATCAGGGAGCCAAGTCCAGCTGGGCAGGGGTGGGGGAGGGGAGGAGGTGCTGCCGTCCCTTGGCAAGAGCCTTGGGAACTCACAAGGAGGCTGGAGGGCTTGGAAGAAAGAAGAGAAGGCCATTGTCTGGTAGGCTCTATTCTGTCTCCGCGGTAGTGGTGGGCGGAGGAGGCACTTCTTTTCCTCTTTTTGTGCAGGAGTTGCCCTTGGATGCCTGAGTTCTTGGCTTGTTTTCTGTCGGGCTTCTGTGAATAGCCACATGTGTCCTGACGCTGTGACCACACAGGGCTATCTCTACCGCCCTTAGGATTCTTAGGAAATGTCTTCTCTTGAAGAGAACATGTCTTTGCTTGGCCGTGTCAGTGCCCCAGAGCCAGAGTCCACCTGGAATGCACCTGTAGTCACTGGGAACCCGGGGGGGTGTGCCTCAGTAAGAGGGTGTTAGGAAAGACCTATTATTGTAGGGCCTGGGCTCCTGTGAGGTGGTTTAGGGGCGGCTGGAGGAAGCAGGGCTTTGCTCTGGATTGGATGCTATCAGGAAGCAGGGGTAATTCTGTGATGGCTGCTCTATTATTTTTTTTCTAGGAGGAGGTTGGAATGAGGCTAGGCTAAAGCTATGATTGGTAAAGAAACGTCCGTCGTTCAAGTTAGCCAGGACAGGAGGAGCGTTCAGGTCGTGATTTTGTGGTTCTGACCACCAGGTTCCTGTTCTGTCTGTTCAGACATCATTTCAGAGGAGGCTCCTTGTGTCTGGCCCCATCTCGGACATGGGAAGCCTAGTCCGATATTGACGCTCAGTGAAATTGTTTATGTTCCGCAGAGCACACGGCCCAGTTGTCGGGGTGGGCCAGCTCTGCACGCCACGGGCTGTGACTTCCCTTCTCAGCATAGCCTGGGGAATTCACTGAAGGACAGAAGGCATCAATGACTTCCTCTTCATCCATAACCTGGGATGTTTGACTCCCAAAGGAGTAACTCTTATGTTTCTTCTAATTCTAGGGAAATTATTGGTTATGTTGCCTTCAACACTACAAATATAAAGCAGTCATAGGAGCCCAGAAGTTTCTAAATGTCTTCCTTACAAAATTAGAAGATGATTTTAAATTCCAAGAGGAAAAAGAAAAACTAGCGTTATCGTATGCTTACCCTCACAACCACCTTAGGAGTTGGTACAATTTTGAGAGGTTGAGTAACTTGCCCAAGGTCACACAGTGGGGATATGAGCTGCATACTTTGGCTCAATGTCGGTCTTTGCCACTGTCCCTATATGGATTTACTTACCTTATTGGGGTTGTAAATCACAGACCCTTCTATGTCTCAGAAGACAGGAGAGGGAACATCAGAAGAAATGACTGATTTCTGAGCATGTGAAAGGCAGGTGACTCCTCAGTATCGTGACCAGAATTTCCCTTGTTCTTTTTGTAGTGATGCCTGTTCTTCAAAAGCAGTGGTTTCTTTACGCTGTATAGGTAAGTTCATCTGGAGTCCCCGTTTTGATACTTCTAACTAGGAAATGCTCTCTACTTTCAGAACAGTACTCCCTGTGTCTCTGGGGGCGTGGGAAGGAAGAAGGTGGGGTCATGGGTTGGGATGTGCCCAGCGGCCTCTCGCTCTTTCCAAGGAGCTCTTGGTTTGGATTTCCATGGCCTGTAGACACTTTCAGCCTTGGGTCCAAGGGACACCCCCTGAGGTCAGGCACACTGAGGAAGCTGACAAAGCCCTACGCTTTATGCCACCCATGAGCCGGAGGCGCGGCAGGTCTCTTTCTCCAGAAAGTGAAGGGGGTGGCATTAGTGAGCCCTGGCAGCCACCTAATGTGGACTTGGAGCATCTGCAGGGCTGTGGTCCAGCACCATGGTGTGGCCACCACGTACCCATCAGCCAGTGAGACCTGGGAGGAGAGACAAACCCAGAGAACAACAGCGCTCTTGCCTCTTCTCTCCTGAATTTTGGACAGTGGCTTAGACTTGGCTGTCCCCATCTCTGTGTTTGGAGTGCTTACAATTTCCAAACCGTTTGCAAATGTGGAAGCCGCCATCGCTCTCCTCCTCTGGGATGGCCCAGTGCTGTTGTGGGGCCGTGGTCCTGAGCTCAGCTTTTCATTTGAAGAGCTGGAAGGCGCTGACACAGTCATCCCAGCAGGGCTGGCTCAGGCCTTCTTTAGGTCCTGAGTTGGGGTCCAGCACAGCTCCAAGGGCACATGGTACCCGCCCTGCCCTCTGCCCATGTACTCACCTCCTGGTGAGAGGAAGGTGAAGGGGTGAATGAGTGAGAGGTAGTGAAGGAGTGGGGTGGGAGTAATTGAGGGGGTGAGGGGATGAGTGAGGGGGTGAGTGAGGGGTGAGAGGTGGAGGGAGTAAAGGGGTGAGTGAGGGGTGATGGGGTGATATGGGTGAGGAGGTAGGGGCAGTAAGGGGTGAGTGAGGGGGTGATGGGGTGAGTGAAAAGTTGAGGGTGATTGAGGAAGTGAGGGGGTACAGATCAGGGGGTGAGGGGTGAGCGAGGATGGGGGGGTGAAAGGGTTGAGTGAGGGTAAGGGAGTGGTGAGAGGTGAGGGGGTGAGTGGGGGGTGGGTGAGGGGTGAGTGAGGGTGAGGAAGTGAGTGGAGGTGAGGGTGGGTGAGGAGTGAGGGGGTTGACGTGAGGAGGTGAGTGAGGGTAAGAGGATGAGTGGAGGAAGGGTGAGAGGTGAGTGAGGGTGAGGACGGTGAGTAAGGGGGTGAGTGAAGGTGAGGAGTGAGTGAAGAAGGTGGAGTGAGGAACATGAGGTGATGAGTGAGGGGCTAGGGGTGATGAGGGGGTGAGGAGGCAAAGTGGAAGGGGTGATGAGGGGGTGAGTGAGAGTGAGAAGGTGAGTGGCGGGGGTGAGGGGGTGAGTGAGGAGGTGACGGGTAGTGGGGAGGTGAGGAGTGAGTGGAGGGGGTGAGGCATAAAGTGAGGGCTGAAGGGTAACGTGGGAAAAAAAAAAAAAAGGAGTTGAGGGGAGAGGGTGAGGGGGTGAGTGAGGGGTGAGGGATGAGTGGGGGGTGAGGGGTTGAGGTGAGGGGTGTAGCCCGAGTGAGTGTAGGGGAATGCAAGGGTGAAGTAAGCGGGGGTGTGGAGATGAGTGGGGGGGGGGTGAGTGGAGGTGAGCAGGTAGTGAGGGGGTAAAGGAGTGAGTGAAGGGGGATGAGAGAGGGTAAGGGGGTGAGCGGATGAGTGAAGGGCTGAGGGGTTGAGTGAGAAGGTGAGCAGAGTGGGTGAGGGGGTGCAGGGTGAGTGAGGGGGGGTAAAGGGTGGAACGAGGAGTTTGAAGAGGGTGGAGTAGGGGTGAAGTGAGGAGGTGAAGGAGGTTTAGGGGTGGATGAGGGGGGAGAGAGTGAGTGTAGGGGTGGAGGGGTAGTGAGGGGGTGAAGGTGAAGGTGGGGATAAGCGGGCTGAGGTGAAGGAGGTGAGTGAGGGTTGAGGCGGAGTGAAGAGGGTGAGAAGGCCAGCGAATCAGTGGGGTGAGTTGAGGGGTGAGGGTAAATGAGAGGTTGGAGCGGAGTAAGTTAGGGGGCTGAGTGAGGGGTGAGGGTGAATGAGGGGTTTCGAGGGAGTGATAGAGGGTGAAGTGAGGGGTGAAGGGTGAGTGAGGGAGTGAGGGGGTGGAGGAGGGGGTGGGGGGTAGTGAGGGGTGGGGGTGAACGAGGGGTTGAGGGAGTGATAGAGGTGAGTGGAGGGGGTGAGGGGTAGTGAGGGGTGAGGGTGAGATGAGGGTAGGGGTGAGGGAGGTGGATGAGGGGTGAACGAGGG